GGGGGTATCGGCGCTGCTTGCGTAGGTGTTCAGTGTGGCGGAGGGGGAGGTAGCGGCGCGGGTGCGCGGGGCGCGGGCCGGGGAGCTGGTGGGGTTTGTCGAGGCGCACATCGAGCAGGGGCCGGTGCTGGAGCGGGGCGGGCGGGCGGCGGCGGCCGTGGACGCGATCGCGGGGCAGACGCGGGCGTGGGTGACGCTGCGCGGGCGGCAGGCGCACGCGGGGACGGTGCCGATGCGGCTGCGGCGGGACGCGCTCGCGGCGGCGGCGGCGGTGGTGGGCGCGGTGGAGGCGGCGGGGCGCGGCGGCGGGGACGGGGTGGTGGCGACGGTGGGGCGCGTCGAGGGCGCGGACGGCGGCGGCGGCGGCAACGTGATCGCCGGGTGGGCGCGCGTGCACGTGGACGTGCGGGCGCGGCGCGACGCGGCGCGCGCGCGCGCGGTGCGGCGCGTGCGCGAGGCGGCCGAGCGCGCCGGCAAGGCGCGCGGCGTGCAAGTCGAGTGGGAGATCAGGCACGAGGCGGCGGCCGTGCGCATGGACGGGTGGGTCGGGGCGGCAGTGCGCGAGGCGGTTGGCGCGGGCGAGGCCGTGACGAGCGGGGCGGGGCATGACGCGCAGGTGATGCGCGGGGTTACCGAGGTCGGGATGGTGTTCGTTCGGTGCAGGGGAGGGGTGAGCCACCACGTGGATGAGCACGTCGCGGACGGGGACGCGGTCGCCGGCGCAGAGATTCTGCTCGAGGTGGTGGGAAGGGTGGCGGCGCGGGTGGCGGGGCGGGAGGCGGCGGGGAAGGAGCGGTGAGATTCGCTCCGACTCCCCCGCGGTGGTTGCTTCAGTGCTGTACACGTGTGGGATGGTACGGAAGGGAGGTGTACAGGAGGGATTTGTACAGTAGAGAGGTGTACAGTGTAATTAAAAAAGGGGCACGTGTACAGTGGACCGACTGTACCGTGTTGTAAGTGGTGGTGACTGTTACAGTAGAGTTTAGAGACTGTCAAGACAAGGTGGAGGGGTGCAGTAGCGTATGAGTGTGTAAAGACAAGGTGGAGCAGGGCAGTGTGAGTGTGTACTGTACAGTATCGGTGTAAAGAGAAGGTGAGCGGGAAAGAGGTTGGGGCAAGATCAGGCTGCCTCTCAACCTTGTCTTTATGAGACAGCAGTGTGTAACCGGGTTGTTATCCGGTTCAGAGAGAAGGTGGGGGGAGCCAAGTTACGGGGAGATCGGTCGGTGGAGGGGAAAAGGGCGGGGGAGATACAGTAAATCTTTACCAAGGGTACTTTACCAAGGGTACTGTACTGTACAACATGCGGGATGTTGCGGGCGAGCGGGCATGAATTCTCTCGCACCGTTGTGCCACCCTTCGCCACCTTGCACAGTGGGTGAACGTTAATGGAAGGTGGTGGAGGGTGGTGGTGGAGGGTGGTGGTGGAGGGTGGTGGAGGGTGGGTGTCAAAACATGACTGGTACGGTACTTGGTGATGTCACCACACGCACCACACCGCACGTCTGTCAACAAACTCACGCAGTTAAAGGGGAAATATAATATAGTTATAGGGAACTGGAGTAAGAAGTTGTTTTTTTTCTTCAACTGAAAGGGGTTATTTTTGTACATACATGTAGTACCCTTCGAAGGGTAGTTGGTCGACCTGCGTGCGAATGAGAGAGAAAGAAGCGTTGAGTGGCAAGCAGCGAGGATATTTTACCCGCTGGATAGTGTTTGCATTCGGTATGACAAGGCCCGAATGGCAGTTGCATCCGGCGGCATCTATTTCTCTACTGTTGTTGGCAGCGAGCCTCCTCGCGACTATCCATGCATCGCCAGGGTTCGGGCGGTCTGTCGCAGGGCGGTCTGTCGCAGGGCTGTCCCTTGTCACCCTAAAGAATACAAACTCTTTTATCACCTTTCCACAAGTCGCAGAATTCCCGCAG